TGGTGGGTCCAGGCGCGGGCCGTGGAGCGACCCCGACGCGAGGCCAACCCTGTCCCAGCAGCCCAGCTGCTCCCGCCTCCCCCTGCTGACTGTCCCTAATGGTGGCGAGCGCTTTCCCTTCGCACTTCATCTCGGAGACGAGATCTCCCCACAGCGCGGGTGGGCACCCATGGGCTCTGGATTTTGATCAGTGTTCAGCAAGTGACAGCCAGGGGTTCCACATTTGAGGGAGGAAATGTGCGCAGCACCTCCTGAGCCTACACTGCCATCTTCTCGGATACATTTTTCATGAGTGTCGCAATGTGTACGTGTTTCTAAGCATTTAGATCACAGGAGGACTAAGTGTGAAGTTTCAGGTCTTGAAAAATAGGAAATGTTTTGAAGGCAGCAGAGACCCAAACCCGTACACAAATGCACAAGTGTTTGGTTGTGAGGAACAAAATAGTGAAAGATCATCCACTTCTCTAGCCAAACCAAGTGGGGAGAAAAGAAAAAAGCAAACACAAAAGCACTCCAACTCACCCTTTCAAAATACAATAGAAGAGTCCATAATGTGCAATATGTTACACTGTGCTGACTTCACTACTATGTTTTCTCCAGTTTTTTGGCTATTTCCTATTAACTTTGTAAGGTCAGGTTACTGTTACCAAAGCTGCCAGAAGCAGTTTGCTGAGATATTTGGACTGTAGTGATCTTCTCTATGTTGGGGTTTGATTATCCTAGAGATGGAATGTTTGATGCATGTGATTTGAAAGGGAAAAATGTTTGATAGTTTATTTTAAATAGGAAATTTGTTTTATAGAAGAGAATTGATATCTGCAAGTAATCAGTAACAATGTTTATTTTTCCCTGTAGTTTGTGTAACACTGACTCTTGAAACTCTCCCTTCTTTTTAACCAATTACTCACTTTCCAAGGAATAACAATAATTTAAATAAGAATAAACTAAAAATCTTGTGTATCTAGCTGATAAGAACGCAAGTTGATAGCAGATAGTGTGAATCAGACTACGAAGCAAAAGAAAGATGTAAAGTCCATGTAAATGTAACATCCATAACAAGCAAAGCTCAGAAGAACCAAAATGAAGGTAATAGTATTGGTGAATGTAAATAGCAAGGTCACTTGCTATTTCCTTGAGGTCCTGAAGCATCTGATTTTTAACCTCTGTTGTTTAACATTTTTATCAAAGTTATATAAAAATCACTATTAAAAAGTCAGAAATAACAGTTGGAGAAATAAATAAAATTGACACGTGAAAGCAGGTTCCTTTACGGAGCTGCATTCAGGCAAGCAATATACTTTCAATCATGCACAAATGTAATTGTGTGTCTTGAAATGATGATTGTGGACTATATTTTCATCATTATTCCAGGAAGAAATTGTTCTTTAAGAAAAAACAAACAAACAAAAAAGGCAAAAAACCAACCCTTCCTCTATCCCAAAACTGGGAATCATAATGATTGTTTGAACATTAACTCATGTTGTTATGCTTGGGCCAAATGGCCTGATGTGTCCAAGAACTGCATTAACACACAAGTACTGAATGAATCGAGTGCGGAGGTTATATTATCTCTGTGCTTGGCATTGTTCCGAAAATGACTGCAGTGCTGATCTTTTAGATGGACATACTTCAAAAAAGACATTGAAAATTGGAGATGATTCAGAGAAGGGCTCTAAGAATGATTGAGGGATTGGAAGTGTGCTCTGTGATGAGAGAGTTGAGGAGCTCGGTGTGCTTAGTTAGCAAAATCATCACTAAGGGAGCATTTAATTGCAATCTTGACTATTCTTGTGGGTAGCAGAAATGTGATAATAGATAGCTTCTCCAACTGCAAACAAGTAAAATAAGAGCCAACAGCTTAAGGTTAAAGCCATACAAATTCCGTTTAAAGAATAAAATGCAATATTTTAACAAGGGAGGTAGTTAAACGTGAGAACAGCTCACCAATAACTGTGGTGCACTCACCACAAATGCGATGTTAATTAAGATTGCCTGTCTTCCTTAAAAATGTGCTGTAGTTCACGAACAAGTGTTGAACAGAAAAGAGAAGATCTGAATGCAGGGAAGCCTGTAATACACAAGAACTGCAATATTCACATCTTTCCTTGGAGTACAGAGCTCGTTTGTGATACAGGATGGTAGCTAGCTCATGCTCATTTTAATTCTGGTTTGACAATTAGCAGAATATTTAAAGTATTTCTGCATGACACAGTGTGATGCCATGCAGTGGTATCCAGATGGGCTCCGAGCAAGCTGGGTTGGGTACCAAAAGCACCTGAGCAGTGCTAGCTCACTGGGGCACTATGTATTACTAGGATATGTAGTGGTTTTTAGCAGGGCTGAGTGGCTTGTATGCAAAGATGTGCAAATGCAGCTGCTATTACACTTCTAACATCATACAGACAACAAATCTTTGAAGATCTTTGAAATCTTGGATCAGGTGTAAAAATACAGAGTGCTTGAAGGAGTAGGGGGTTTCCAAAATGAGACTTGTCTTTGTATGAATTTAAGTGGAAGAACAGACACATTTGTGAAATAAAAGTTATTAATTACTGAGAAAGCAGGAAACCACACTGAGGAAGTCTATTGATGTGAAAACAGTTGGATGCTGCAAAGTAGTCTAGCTAGGACATAGCAAACCCCCTAATCTTACTCTTTTCTCAATTTCTGTTTATCTCCCCTTTGAAGACAGGATGCTGGACTGTTGTATTTTTGGTCTGACCTTTTGTAACTTTTGTTACATATGTTCCAACAGTGTCTATATTTTCTACTATTACGCTCTCAAAATCAAACTTGTAATTTTAAAGGTAACATATTTCAAAGGCAGACAAAAATTTTCAGAACAAATGTGTATGTGAAAGAAGAAATATCTTTGTGTAAAATAGAATACGAAGATTTTAAATCCTTGTGTATCATATCATATTGATTATTTTTGTCATATCAATTTAAAATTGCAATGTGCTTGTTCTTCTGTGAGTTGTCTTTCGGTATATTTGATAGACTTAGAGTATAGTTAATGTCTATTCTTTGTAATGAATTTCAAATGCAGGCAAGAGGAATTCAAGAAATTAGTTTCTAAAACTGCCTGTTATTTTACAGCTGTTGAAATGACTTTTCCTGTCTTGTTTTCCTGGATATTTTTAAGCTGCTTCATCCTTCAGTTGGGTTAATAGGCCTATTAATTGGCAGTAGTACAGCGGCGGTCCAGCTATATAAAGCTGTTAAGTCACTGCTAGAGAAACCAAAGAATTTTAAAAGGTTGTCAGTCAGAATGAAACCACTATTGTTAATAAGTAATTTTTATGTATTTGTCATGTGGATAACATGGGCTACCTTATTGGAGAAGGAGTTGGTGCAGATAAATAAGATTAGGAAAGTTGACCTGTTAGCTAGCATTGTCTTGGGCTTCTCCATCCATGTGTAAGGGTATCCTGACAGTATGCTGCATAAGAAAAATCTAGCTATAGCTGCTTTGGATGGACTAATGGGTAGGTTCTTTTGATGGCTTTTTGTTCAGTTATGCATCTCTAAAAATTCATGGAACTTTTATATGCACTTTATGAAGTGATGAAACGTGTATTAAGAAGGGTGAGACTTCACTGTTAGATTTCTGACCAAAGGTGTCTATGTAGTTCACTTCTACACCTTCTAGTTGTAATAAACTCCAAGATAATGGATGTATTGAAGCTTTGCACTCTCAGGTTAAAAATATTTTTGCTTGCTTATTAAAGAATATTTCAAAGCTCATTCTATTATATTGTACTATATAATTATGTAGGTCACATTAAATCTCCTGTTTTTGTTTTCTCCTAAATCTCCTCTCCTGTTTTTCATTAAATGTTGCTTGCAATAGCCAGCAAAACACTTAGATGTTAGGATTAATCCAAATGGTTTGCTTGCTTGCTAAAATTTTATTTAGTATGCATATTTTTGAATACCTACAGATGGTGTGCTTTATCTAGGTTTGTGACCTTTATCTGGTCATGCAAGGATGTATTTCAGTGAAGGATTTCTTTGCGCGTGTGCTATTAACATCTGCAGTATCAGATTCTTAGTGGTGTATTATTAAAATCCTTAATATTCTCCAGAAATGTTACTTTGATAGAGTAAACTAAAATATAGTGGAGTATGTTTTATTCTTGATATTTGCTTAAAACTGAAAGATGAATGGGTATTTTTTAGTAAATACAGAAAAGATTCTAATTAACTTCTCAATTTAGATTTTTAGGTCCATTCATCGTTGCAAAAATAGTAAAAGTAGCTACATTTTAACGCCACTAACAATGTTACATAATTAATATATTCTATTTAGTAGAGCAAATAAGTCTCAAAAATTGTAATTTGATCACATTTTTGGGTTTTGTCTTCCTTTTCAGTCAGTGGTGAAGACAGGGCGATTGCTGATTAGCCATGAGGCGCCTTTGACGGGAGGTTTTGCATCTGAAATCAGTTCCACAGTTCAGGTAACAGCTTATTTAAATTTTAATGTTCTGCATACTTGACCGTGTCTGTCTGTAGAAAATATATTCACCACTCTGCTAAAAACCGAAGTTTTCATATTTTTATAGTTTCATTTAAATTTTATTAAATTAGTTTTGTGGGTGGTTACATTGTGCTTTATCTGAAAAGCTGAGAAAGTGTGTGCCTATCTACTAAGCTAGAAGATTCATCTTCCTAAAAAAAAACAGGCAGGATGCGCTGTCAGATGCAGTAGAAATATCTTTTTCCGTAGTCTGTTCTTAATCCCTTTTTTTAACCTTCATCATATTTTATCCAAAACATTTTTTTTCTGGGAATTTGAAGTTAGAAATGGGTTTAAAAAACAAAAACCAGAACAGTTCCCACCAATATAGTGTGGTGTTAAATTTGGTGTTCAGAGACGCTAGGAAAAGCAGCTGGGGAAGCTGCTTTTCATAATGTTCCCAGCAGTTCCCCCAGAAGAGCTCTGGGAGTTGTTCTGCAGTGTCACCGATTGTCTGCAGAAAAAGGCTTCAATAGAAGCCCTTCTGCTATGTTTTGCATCTATACTTGCAGAGATTCTTCCCATTAACTTGATTTATTTCCTGTGCACATAAGCAATGCTGATTTATAGAAGATTTTGAAGTTGATCTTATCCATTACTACCTGGTTACTATTTCTGATTATTAGTACAGTAGTACTAGTAGTACAGATTATAAATCATGAGGCTAAAGAACGAGGTGGTTCTAAAAGTTACAGAAATTATCCATACAAACAGTAGTTGATGCTTGCTTTTTGTTTGTTTGTTTGTTTGGTTTTTTTGTTGTTGGTACTTTTAGAAAAGAAGAGAGTTATTTGTTCTGGTTACTGGTGTTATTTTAAATTAAATATGCATAAGGAATAGGAAAGTTGTTTCTTAAAACCCTTGTAAAACAAGTGTAAGAAAACTGTATTAAAATTCATACTATTCTATGAAGATTTTTGATTGTCAAAACTTTGTTTTTAAAAAGCAAATATTTATTATCCTCCTGCTATACCACACATGAAAAAAAACCCCGAACATATTCAGCAAGATAAAAGGAAGTTCAAGCGAAAAAAAGTGGATACATCAATGGATACTCTTGGAAGGTTCACTGCATGCATGGGATCAATATATTACTGAGATATTACTGAGATTTTAATCTTTTCAGATTTGTGCTAAGAAAGGTACTTAGCATCTGATCCATGCTGGGATTATTATCAATATGTATCTTGACAAATACTGATATAGACAACAGAATTTAAAGTGACTTAAAAGGACTATTTATTTCTGTGTATATTTAAAGCATCTTTAAAGTATAAAGAGATTGTTTTGTAATGATAACATATAGTTTTATAACACATGATGATAACATTTTTTTTTAAAATAGGAATTGTGTCTTGAAAAAATATTAGTTAATTTGCCATAATGGTTACTTCAGAAATCTAAATATAGGTTTTTGGCACTGAGTTTCCCTTGATTCCATGTTATAACTATGTACAAGTAACTGTCTACATCATTCTTAACTTTAATCAGCTTTTAATAATAGTTATTTTTAAGAATATCCATACTGCAAAAGAGATTGGAGTATAATTTATAGGGCATAAAAGTTTTTAAAGAAGAATATTACTTTAGACATAATAAAGAAGTTGCTTTTTTTTTAAGGCAGTTACAACGCATATTCCCTTAATGATCAAGTAAAGTCTATATGTCTGATATCACTGTGTAGTAAAAATAAAAAGGAAAAGTGAAATTCATATTTACTGGATACAATGTATATTAACAATGCCAAAAACTTGGGGATTGCAGTTGGCTTTAGTTTCTGCATATGGAAGTAATAAGACTTCAATAAAGAGCCGTCCAGTTGGATTAGATGGTTACTTTCCATATTGTTACTCTGTCCTTGTGAGGTTCATAGAAATAAGGTGAATAAAAATATACAAGTTAAAACTGTCAGAACCATTTTATGGTGTGATGTACACTTTAATGAAGTGAATATACATGAAAACGGTGGCTTTGGTGGCTTTCAGTCATGAACTTTTTAGGAGAAAACTTCATTGAACAGGCTTTCCATTTTTTCTGCATGAGATTAAAAGCAGCATTCAGAGATCATATTAAATAATAATTCCTAATGTAGGGAATCAAATCCAAAATAGAATATTTAGAAGGGGCACATTATTCCATTAAGCAATATTTCACTGCAATTTCCCCACACACTTCAAACTAAGAAGGGGAATAGAGTGGTGAAGAGATGCGGCTTTGTCCTCCTTATTACTAAGGTTTTGTTTGTGGTCTTCGTGGGTATTTTGATGTGAACAACAGATGACAGGGTAAGTATAGGTACAATAAATACGTCTTGTTGATTATATAAAAGCTCGAAAAATTGTAATTTTCTGCAGAGAGGGCAATAAACTTGTTTCAGTTAGGAACAGCATAGAAGAAAAGGGCCTGCTGAGATGTCAGTGCCAAAATAAGGGAGCACTGAGGTGAGGAAGTCATAAGTATATTGCTTACTTGAAGCACAAAACAATGTAAATATAGCATCTGAATCCCTGCTAAAGAGAAATGCAAGGGATATAGAAGTAGTTATGGTCTGGTGTGCGATAAAAAAATGTGCATAAGCAATCAGAGAGGATTTTGAATGTATCTGAAATCAGGTTAAATTGTAATCAGTGACTGTCTTTTAGTAGTGGTAAAATGCCACCTTACGGAGAAGTTTGCAATCCAGCTTCTGCTGTTGTCATATTGACAAAATAAAGGTGGTACCATGAAATAATTTGACAAAGAAGTGAGAGAATTAGTAGAAGATTATGAAACTAATAAATTCTAAAAATGAAAATTAACTCAGTTACATGAAGAACTAATCTTTGATTTTAGAAGCTTCCCTCCTCCCAGAATTGATAACCCTTTTTTCTGATCTCTTTATCTTATTGTAGAAGGAGGAATCTTAAAAAAGCAGCAGTCCTGCTGAGTAGACAATGTAGTAGGGATAAGGAAGCTAAGCATAAAGCAGTAATGTAATCCTACATGCAGATAGATAGTAAATGCTTTTCTTTCAACCATGACTGTCTATTGAAATATTCATCTGAGGACTAACTCGTAGGTGATCCTTTTTTTCTTTAAGATGTCATCTCTTAGAATTATTTTAAAATTATTTAATGTTCACTCTGACGTGCGATATATTAAAGTTTAATCTAAACTAAAGGCTTTCTAAATCTGCTACCGTGTATTCATCATAGCAGATTTGAAGATAATTCTAGGATTCTGTTTTAGGTAGAAATTAAACGAGCTATGAAACTTTTTTTTTCCTCCTTGCCCTAAAAAGTAGGCAGTCATTCACTATGAAATACCAAACAATTTAATTTTTCTGTTTGTTCATAATGTGTTAGAAGAAAGCATTTGAATTTTGGGCACAGCTGAAAATTTCATGGCATTCTGAAGAATGCTGTTTTATATTTCTTTACAAATATGAATTATACAACTATGAAAGGAACATCATGTAGGTCAAAAACAAAATAGCTTTTGTTTTTGGAAGTGGCTTTCAAGCAGTCACTAACATAATGTGCAGTTCTCATAATTTTCTATTTTTATGTAGCTTCTGTGTATGACAATATACACACTATTTTGTGCATTAAAGACTATTCTCCTTAGTCTGGCATGTGTGGGGCCAATAAACAGCAACTGCTTGAGCACAAGATTTTGTCAGGGATCAGATAAAAAAAAATATTTTTAAAGCCATCTTTCTTGTCCTTTTTTATCCAAACTCCTTTCAAAAATTATTCTACTGTTCTCAGAAGAGAAGGTAACTTGGCGGAGAATGGAGTCAGAAACCAGAAAGTTGAGGAGAGCAGAGTTAAGAATTGCTTGGGTAACCTGTAATAACTTGAGCAGTTTAAGATATGTTAGTGCAGGGAAAGGATTAGGATTTGTGTACTGACTTGACTTGATTCTTCATTTCCTCATTTTCATGGCTTGTATATTAAATATGTTGTATAATTCCTGCCTTCCAAGGGACAACATCCAGGAAATTTGTATTATCATTACAATAGTATGGTGGTCATTTTTTGTTTGTGCACATAAACATATAAAAGGCACTATTTGGTGTTGATCTTATAAATACAAAAAATATATCTCACAGGAAAGTCTTGGTTGTTGCTACCTGTTCTCTACAAATGATCTGAGAACAAATATTTAAAACTTACTGGAAAATGGAAAATACTTGACTAATTTTGAATACATTTTCTTTTAAGGATTTTGAAGTTTGCGATTTGTTTATGTGGGTATTACAGCAGAATACACCATCAATCTGTACATTGTTATGAAAATATAAAATATGAAAATGGCTCAAGGAAGATGATACCTCGTCTGGGAAATAACACTGTTGCCTATAAAATAACAAGATGGCACACTACTTCTTGTAGTAGGCTTGAGCAGGTGTAAAAAGATATATATAGTCTTCATTCTGTCAGCAGAAGAGCAGATCTGAGTTAATTGTGCTTTCCTCCTGTGGTAGTGCAGTTTCTTTTCTTATTACCCGGTGACTACTTCTCCTTGGTCATCTTGGTCATCGTGGGGGGATCTGGAGAGCAGGCCGTGTTAGGTTGGCTACTGAAGCCATGGAAAGGAGAACCCAGGTCTGTTCTCAGGCCTCCTGCAGAGGACTTCTTATGTTTCTCATCAACTTACGTAGGTTTAAGGCTTAAAGTTGATCATTAGCCGTGGGATAAGTCCCAGTAAATTCAATGAAATAACCTGTAACTCAGGATTGAGTTACACATCTTACAGAACTGATGAACTGACAAAAAGTATATATAAGTTGAATGTAATCTGAATTATGAATTTAATATGGATCTTTCATATTAATTATGAAACTATTCTATATCTTAACGTGGATACTGCAATAAACATCTGAGAATCTCTGTTTTCATTTTGAGCTGGAAGAACAAGTTGTGTGCAGTTTATTCCACTGCATGCCCCATTCCAGGC